TGTAGGTGACCCTGCTTCGGCGGGAGGGTTGGACTAGATGACCCACAGAGGTCCCTTCCAACCCCTACCATTCTGTGATTCTGTGATTCTGTGATTCTGTGACTTCTGTTGCTCTACCTCCTCAAATGCCTTTCCAATACTCCTGTGGAAATAATCCTGACTTTCCTTCTGTTACCACACCTCCCTTCTGCTTTGTTATCTCAGTGATATTTCTAGTACTTTTCTTTCTTCCCAGAATACCGCATCTCACTATCATGTACTCTGACTGTGTTTTCTGACTGCTCAGGGTGTCTTTATGCTTGCCATTGGGACGCGGAATAGCGTGTGCTGAGGCTGCCTGGTTGTGATATACAGATGGACATTCAGCCAAATCGAATCACAGAGAGACTTTAGACCACTTCTTATTTAAATTCTAGTATTGAGATTAATCTGTTTTTTAACTAACTGGAATCATTCAAGCGTTTCTGTTTTGTTAATTACCTGTATAAAGTTCTGGGAATAAGGTTTGGGATTTTGTTTCTCCCTCTCCCCACACCAATATGTTTATATTCTCTGCTGAACAATAGACTAGGAGCCATACTTATAAGCAAGCTCTTCGAGAGGATGAAAACAGAAGATTAGAGGAAATGAAGCAAGAACAACGGAGGAAGGTAATTATACATTAAGAGTTTGCATATTGTATCATTTTTACATGCTGTGAAACCAATTAAATACGTTGATTACTTGTAGCCTACGCACAGAGCTTCCTTTTAGCAAAAGTGATTTAGCCACTGTTTTCAAATATTGTGAGAGGATGAGCCAAGCTGTAAATTTGGACACAGGCAGGACAATTATCTTCTGAGTTCAAGGCTGTTTGCATCTGGATGACTAGCTGCTGCTCACCTCTCTGTTTGAACAGCTGTGTAGGGCATTTTTTGACCATGGTACCTGATTTCGTAGGCTAAGGAAACCAATTTCCTCTCTTTCAGGCAGAATTAATCTTACTGAGATATTTGTGATGATCTCAGACTCTGAATAGTGTCTTTGTAGAGAATCAAGGCCTGTGTGCCCTGCCTCCCCAAACAGGGATGTAGAAGCACTCAGATGTGCTGTGAAGTCTGTATGCTTCTCAGTTCCCTTGCTAACCATGTAAATGAAAAGTTTTGAATTGTCTAAAAAGCAGGCATGCCGTAACTGCATGTTTGAACTCCATCTTCTGAAAGGCATCTCAACCACCATAGTCCCTCGGGCGTGGATTTGGGTACCATATCCACATAAAGTCCGTCTACGCAAGGCGATAGCACTGGGCTGCGTTGTCTGTCTTGGCTCCAGGTCAAACTGTGCAAGTGTGGGGAGGGCAGCATTGACTGCAAATCATTCAAAAAAATAGGAGCAAATATTGAGCCTCTTGCTATGCCTCTGCTGTTACTAACATACAAATTAATGTTAAACTACTTCCCCCGCAGCAGAATCTTAGTGCAACAAATTCCACACAGTGAGTTTCTACTAGAGCTGGACAAGTGGCTCAGTCCCCCTCATGGGTATCTTTTTTTAAAAGTTGGGGATAAGTGTCCTCATTTTGTAGTGTTCTAGCAACCAGGATGCTGGAAACAAAAAGGTGGGGCAAAAGGAGGCTCTTAATTGATGTGGTATACACTTAGGCAGCTTACTCAGCTTACTTAGCTTACTCCCAGGAACTATACAGAGAAAAAAATCTTTGAAAGCTAGTCCTGACAGGTATAAAGCCTGTAAGCTGTCGTATTCTTTACGTTTGTTCCTCCATAGAGAAAATAATTACAGATGTGAATTAGCATGCCCTTACCTTATGAATTTGGTTGAAGGGACTCCTGTAGAGCTGTAGACTCTTTACCGATTTCCACAGATTGCTGAGATGGTGTTGGCCATTTCTGAGGCTGCTTGTTCTTGGTGCGTGGTTCCAAGTGCTCCTTGCCTTCACACTTGCTGCTACCTATTGCTCAGAGTAATGCACTACTTACAAACCTACTGTAAATAATATGTACTTTAAAGGCTCCAATAATTGTCCCTCAGATATATGTTGGCTCATTTCTACTTCCAACTGGTATTTATTAAAGTAATTGTGAATTCTGTCTTGTGTGTACCTCCTAGCACAGTGTAGCTATAAAAAGTATAGGTATTGCCAGTTCCTTTTTTTTTTTTTAACAACAGGTTTTAGTATGTATTGCTTGATTTAGAAATTTTCAGTAGGCTTTGAACGCGCCATCATATACACACAATATATTTCAGAACATTACTCCAAGAGAGGACTCAGCATATTGGAAAGTCAGATACTGGATTTTAATTTTCAGGTTGAATAGTTATTTAAAACAGTGAAAATTAAGGTTGGCTTTTTTATTTCTTAATCCTGTTTCTTCTTTTAGGGCTAGACAAATATTGATACACAACACATTCGCAGTTATTGATTTTCTTCATACATTTATTGCATAGTTTTTATTTAATGTTCCACTTAAATTGATTTTTTTTTTTACTTTTGATGTTCCATTCAGTTATTGAAGCTTTTATCTACCCGCATCATTTTATTTTACTTTCGATTCCTACTGCTACTCAGTTGCTATGGAAAATATGAAGGATGGGTCTGTTCCTATCCCTTCCCCCTCACCCTGCAAGCCAAATTCTCTTTGCAGAAAAATCTACGTCTTCAATTCCTGGGTGCATTGCAGGGAGCCAGACAAACAAGTGCACATGCAGAGCAGAGTTGTACAAGCTGTGTTTCCTTTGCGGTCCTGGCTAAAATTGCATAAGCAAACTCTCTGAAAAGAATTCCCTTTGACACTGTTAATATAAACCTTAATATTATGTAACGTAAGGACGGTAGGCTGCTGCAACGCTGGGAGCTTGCACATGCTTTCACCACACCAGCAGCTACCGTTTGCCCTTCCCTCGCCCTTGGAGGAGCCCCAGGGAGCTGGAGGTGACACACCATGCCGCATACCCCCGTTCTCATCTTCTCCTAATGCTCCACGGAGGCAGGAGGCAAAGGGAAGATGTCTCCTTTGTACCATACAGGCACGATGACTGTGTCTGCTCCTGGTAGAGGACTTTGGCTGTCTTCCCTTGGAGCCAGGGGGAAATTCAAACCCTTGGTTTGGGGCAAGGGGAAGTAGACTGGTGTCTGGCGTACCCCTTTAAATGCAGGGCTGTGAACGTCTGAATCCTGTAACTTCCCACTTTTTAGGGCACAAGCAAAATTTATCCAGTGCAACGCTGAACAGTAAAATGAGCTCATTTGCGACATAGGTGTGTTAGTTAACAGAAAGTTTGTTGTTTTTTTTCTTTCACTTTTATCATTTCCAGGCTGAATTAATGGAATTTAAACAAAGGCAGGAAGAGGAAGCCAGGACGAGAGCACGTCAAAACGAACAGAGGAGGTATGATGCAAAAATGCAGCAAACACTTTAGTTGAATTCCTATCTGGAAAGGGTCTCAAAATTGCAGGCATTCATGCTTTAGAAGATGATTTCAAAGAGCATCCCTGACTTCACTTCTGGTTTAAGTTTGCCTTTAAAGGAGCCACTGATATCCATCATTATCACTGCTCACTGTAATGCAGTATGACCTGGAGTGCCTTTTTCACTTTATTTGTCCTATCAGTGTAGGATACATCATAGGGTGGAAACTATTAGCAGTTTTGTGGGTAACTACTAGCATCGTCATTTCAACTGGGAAACGTTCTATCTATCTATCTATCTATCTATCTATCTATCTATCTATCTATCTATCTGTCTGTCTATCTATCTACCTACCTACCTACCTACCTACCTACCTACCTGCCTGCCTATTTATTTTTACTTTATTTCAGGATAGGCTGCTTTCTCCATACCACATTTTGTCGTTGGCTGTCACTGAGGTTTACAGGCAGAGCTCAACTTGGGATTTGGTATCGATACAGATAGACGCTGCAGTTCAGCAAGACCTAGGCCGTGCCCCACTGCTGTGCCCTCTCTCTGCTTAGCCGTTCTAATCTTGCGCTTCTGTCACTAAACTGACTTTCCATTATCTTGAAACACAGCTTTGTTCTCAGCTTTCTTTTCTGCTGGTAAAAAGAAACAGCTCTTAGACTCAAAAAAACCCCTGAAGCCCTACCATTTGTTTCTTATTTTATATCATTAGGGAAATATAAAAAAACAATTACTTCTGTAGGCAGCCACTCTTCATACTGTTTTCATGTCTTTTTTTCTCCAGCAATGATATTGAGATAATTACCCATAGAAGTTAATGAAGGATATTCTACTCAGTCTATCTCATGTCCCTAGATAGAAATAATCCAGTATCTTGCTTTTTACATCATTCTTACGAATAGCATTGTAAAACATTAAAACAACAGTCATGTCCAAGCATGTGTGTCAGTCCTAAGCATTAATAGGGGAGGAGAAGAAACAGTTTTCAGAAGGTTTGAAAATATTTAAGACAGATTGAGGAAAAGTGTATTTGTATGTGTGCATGCTTTCCAGATTGATAAAGTGGTACAAGAAAATGCTAGAGTTGATTCCAGAGCTGGATGGTAGGGCAAGCTGTCAGCTACACAAATCATCTCTATTAGTAACAAGGTTAAGTGTTTTTTTTCATTGGCATTAGGAAATCAGTATTTCTAGAAGCTCTCCATGTGTACTGAAGTTTGAAAGACTAACAAAGGTGAATGGTCGAAATAGCTCACCTCCCTGATAAGATGGGTGGTGGTATGCAGGTCGTCTTTCTACAGAGAATTTTGGTGCATTTCTCACAGCAGCTGAGATATGCATTTTAATCGCAACGGACTGATCACAAGATAAGGATGCACCTGGTGAATCGAAAATAAAATCCGCCCTATCTCATGCCAGTCCATGGTTATTCAGCACAGGCTTGAAAAACACAGGAAGATGGCTATTGAACTGAGAACAGGGAAAGCCACTAACAGAATGTTAAAATTCAAAAGTTTCTGAACTCCTCAGCTACCTTCAATGATTATTCACTTTTTGTTGTATTTTAAGGGTAAATAATGCTTTCCTGGACCGACTCCAGAACAAAACGCAACCTAATACTGTCTGCCAACCTGGATGTTCTGGAAGTCTGGAGCACCTCAGTAATAACGCCTGGGTAAGATTTTTGGGTAAAGAATGTGAAAGCAATGAGGTTGTTTAAAAGTTTACTTTTTCCCCAGATGCTGTTCTGTGTCTGTGTACGTTTAGCCTGCTTGACAGAACTTACAGTCCTGACTGGCTGCCTACAATAGCTTTTGAGAAGAAATCCTATCTTAAATATGTAAGCTGTTCAAATGGGAGGAGGGAGGAACAGCTACTCTTGCAGCAGAACTTGGCTGCTTTGCATGCAAGGTAGTGCAAGGAACCGAATCTCAGGTACTTCCTTAAGTTCAGAACAAGGGTAGTGAAATCATAAGGGATTTTTTTAAAGTCTTTAGATGAAGGATGTTTGGAAAAGCTGTCAATATTTTAATATGATATTAAAAGAGGAGGGGAAAAATCCCATGAAATGTACAGCTGTTCATTTTTTACCTATGTGAAATTACGACAAAGAAGACTCAACTGCATCCAATTTAAAATACATGGTATTTGAAAAGATTTTTTGAAGAAAAGGTATCTTCACTGTAGCCTATTAAACATCCATTAAATCTTTCCAGCTGTCCTAATGAGGCATTAATGTGACTGTTATTCAGAACTGCATTCTTCAGTGTTAAAAAAATAAAAATCATGTAGTATTCCCATCATGGAAATTTCCATTAGGTTGAAATTCCACTGCTGAGAGGACCATAGTGTAAAAATGGAAGATTTACAAAGAATGAGCAGCAAAAGGATGAGAGTCCAAGAGAATTTAGTTAATGTGCCAGTGTAGAGAAAGATGTTTTGTTGATAACCAGAAAAGCTTGATTTCGATTAGTTGAACTGTCTGGTGCAGATGTGTATCTTGGCAGATGAATGCCAGGAAGATTTGTGTTCAAGCATCTGCGAAGTCAAGGCATGATAAAGAAGCAGATATTCTTGCTGCTGGAGTTTTCCAGATACTGGAACTGGAAGGAAGAGTGTCTTAATCACTACAAGCTTTGGGCAAGCCCTGGGCCATGACAGAGGGCTCAGGAATCTTGGACTGAGGGTGCCTTTGTGCATAACGTTTCTCTCAGTCTTGCTGAGAGGAGGCAGAACCTGCCATCATGACCTCCCATAAGGTCTGTGGGCAGCTGCTTGGAGAACCAGTTAGTTAGGGGCTTTACTTGTATCTGAGGGTGCCTTTGTGCATAACGTTTCTCTCAGTCTTGCTGAGAGGAGGCAGAACCTGCCATCATGACCTCCCATAAGGTCTGTGGGCAGCTGCTTGGAGAACCAGTTAGTTAGGGGCTTTACTTGTATCACGGAATATCACAGAATATCACAGAATAGTAGGGGTTGGAAGGGACCTCTGTGGGTCATCTAG